AATTAACAATGAAGAAACAACTACATTTGAAATAATGATCTAACCAAATACGTTATTCGTAGAATATTAAATAATGAATAATAGAAAGTAATAATTAATTGTAATAATACAAATGAAAGAATTATTTATGTAATAAAAATACTCAAACTGTAATGACAAATAATAGTTCTGATGAAGTTTATGTTTTAACTAGAAACTAAGTACAATACACTATGTCTTACATGGTGTAATAAATAATATGGAATAATTCACTTGAAATCAAATATGTAAACATTTGTAGATATAATGAATAAATCTCTAAGATGAATTAATTAAATACTTCAGTATTAAAAACAAGGAACAACCATTAAATACATAATATTCATGATTAGAATGAAATATATTTTACTATAAAAATACCAACTGATATCCTTGGTTTAAAAATGATATAATTCTTGTTGGATGGTATATAATTGATTAAATAAGAAAGTAAAAAAGATTATTCAACCTCATCAATAAATAATTCTATTCTTATATTAATATATTCTAAAATTCTTTTATTTATTAGTATCTAATGAGTTACTTAAAAGAAATAATGATCCCGAATAAATAATCACAGAAACATCATGCCTCAATGTTAAAAAACCTACAAAATGGGTTAATAAATTAAATACACTCAAAAACTACAAAGAGAAGTTACAAATAAATCATATCATGAAAACACTCAAATATAAAGAAAAAACAATTAATTAGTTATTCATCAGAAGAGTATTGTTATTGCTTTGGGTAAATAATGTATTTTTCCTATTTTGTTTCATAACAAGATGAAACATCAACAATAAAATGAAAAGACAAATAACAAAATAATGTTGTATGAAAGATACTATAAAATATAATAAGAAAAACTATTTAAATGATGAGAAAGTGAATCTTAAAAAAACAAAAGATTGTTCACAACTTATAAATAATAATCAGAAAATTCTCTTATATTACATCTCAATGAAAATAATTATTAGTAAAGAAAATCCTTGGATCTTCACTCATCGTTTGTCTATTAACTATTTATAGAAATCGTTACATAAACTGAAAACAAACATGAAAAAAAAAATAGAAAGAGAGGAAGTATGAAAGAAAACTGAAAAAGAATAGTGAGATTTGAACTTATAAAAACGAAATACGTCAAATCAATGAAAATAAAAACAAAATAAGAGTTAGAAAAATAGTTTAACTCAAAAATCCAAAATCAAATGAAGATTAACAACATCATAAAATATCATAAATGAAGAAATTATTAATTATACAAATATCCTAAATATTAAGATATTTTAAATGAGTGTTGGGAATCAAAAGTGATGAGAC